TATGTTTAATGTCTTCATGTTTCCAAACGTTTCTGTTTTTCTGTGAAAACAACTGTTTTCATACAGCGATAGCTGGACGCTTTTGTCCATATTAGGAATTTCCTGGTTCGACTTTCTGCTCGAGAGCGTCCTCCTGCTACGAGTATGCATGAAACATACACTGCACATGTTTAGCGCTCCGCGATGTTCATCTCACCTTATTCTGGGTCCAAATAAAACATCAGATCATGCACAGACTATACTGTCTCTTTGAATTTAAATATATATTTATTCACACCGGCTCTTAAAAAACCTCTATGCGAACACACTTGCCCGAGAAAGTGCGGGGGACGAATTTACGTGATATTAAAAGTGTGTGTGTGTGTGTGTGGTGGGGGGGTAAAGCCTTACTCATAACAGTGAGGTAAAGCCTTACTCATAACAGTTATTTGCTGTTATGAGTAAGGCTTTACCTGAAGGAAATGTGCCATATTGAAATGATCCCATTTCGTTCTTGGTCCAGTCAAAGTCTTCACTGGCAAAAATGCACAGGGCCAACAGAAGAAATGGGCATATCCTCAGCACACTGTGTTGTAGCATCCTCTTATTCTAATATGGGTTTGTTTTTCACCAGTACCACCTGCACAGATTGAAACAGACTCATTTTACTTCCAGGCACACCTTTGAAAATGTTTCATCCTTTCAGTTGTTTAAGAATTCCTCAGTCCTTAGATAGGTATATATAGAGACATTTCAAGTCAGTTATACTTCGTTCTTGGTCCAGTCAAAGTCTTCACTGGCAAAAATGCACAGGGCCAACAGAAGAAATGGGCATATCCTCAGCACACTGTGTTGTAGCATCCTCTTATTCTAATATGGGTTTGTTTTTCACCAGTACCACCTGCACAGATTGAAACAGACTCATTTTACTTCCAGGCACACCTTTGAAAATGTTTCATCCTTTCAGTTGTTTAAGAATTCCTCAGTCCTTAGATAGGTATATATAGAGACATTTCAAGTCAGTTATACTCATTTCAGAAAAAAAAAAAAAAAACATACTCAGAGTGGTCAGCTTCCAAAGTATTTGAAGCTGAGGCATATCAATGATGCATCCCAAACTAAAAAGCTGTCACAATCCATGTGCAATCAGCCGAAAATGCCCCCCAAAATTTCCAAACCCAGATCAGATCAGATTAATTATCTCTCATTTCAGCCAGCTATAAGACAAACTGACACAAGAGGCTATCAGTGACAAAAAGTAAGTCAGTTTGTCAAGAGCTGCCAAAATGAAAGACATCTCAAAAGTATTTATCCAGAAGAGAGGAGATGCAAGTTTCTTTCTGAAAGGAGAGAGGATGAGATGATGATTAAAATGCTTCCTTCTGTTCACAGGAACCAGCAGCTTTGCCCTGTCTCATGTCTCTCTCCCTACTCTCACCCTCTCTCTCAAACTCTCCCTCAATCTAGATTTACGCTAAAGCACATATAGACATATACCTGCTCCAGGCCTCACATTTGTCTCGACTGGAATCCACTCCAAAGTGCCAGAAGGTTACCTAAGCTTCTGAACTTCATTCACCCTCACAAAGCTGCCCAGTGCCTGTGCGCTCGCGAGCACAAAACAGTGGCTCCGAGCTCCATTCAGGAGCCACACGCAGGCTCAAATATCCACTATTCAAATTCAATGGGCTGAGAGGGGAAAAGTGCTGCTCCTAACATGTTTTATAGAATTGAACATTTGACTCTGTAAGCAAAGTTGATGTTGGTGTGGGTGATACATTTGCATTTTGGCCCCCAAGGGAGAAATACAAGTTTATGCCATAAAAAAGGTGAAAATGTTCAGCATTTCTGAACCAATTCTGCATTCTTTTTTAATAAAGGATGGGTGTTATATTAAATAAAATTATTTAAAAAAAAAAATATATATATATAATAATAATTGGTAGTTTAGCTGTTAGAGGTAAGTTTACATTGTACATATATAATGTTATTTTATAAAGTGCAGAATATTACTACTAGACTCCAATTCCGACTGAACTAGGATAATAAATATAGATGAATATAATATAAAATCATTGCTGGATTGATCTCTGCTATACGTATGTGTGTCTGTCCTTGTGCTTTCAAACACTTGCTGCCCCAGTTCAAACGTGAATACAGTTACAACATGCTTTGAAAAGAATGTTGAATTGGTTCAGAAAGTGTTGACACTGCACTCTTTTACTGTACGTGTATGTTCGTGTGTTATGTGTTTAGGTGTGTATGAAGGAGAATTTGTTCAATGTATGTTGGTTTAACGTACATGTGTTCTCTTGCATGTTCTATGGATGTGTGTGTATGTGTGTGTTTAAGCTTTTGTATGTGTGCATTTGAGTTTCTGTATGCACATATAGCTAAAGGCTTTTACAAAACATAGCATACTGTATGTGTTTAGCATATCAATACACAGACAGACTACAGAGAGAGCAGCAGAAAGAGTATGAGCATTCTAGCACTCCGTTTCTATGTACCTGCTGTATTTAAGGACCATCTTAGTGGCCACCACGAGCTGACATGAACATCTTTACTAAGGTCCCCGGACTAGCCAAACAAACCAGGTATGTTTGCAGTGCATTTGGACACCAAATTTTTGAGTTTCAATCTGCACCTCCCAAGAGGACTGTATTAATCATTGCAGAAAAAGACATATAAAAGACCAACACCCATGACTTGTTTGTGGAAGAGAGTAAATATATAGTTCTGATCACAACCATACCATTAAGACAGCCCTGAAATAACATACTGCTGTGCTTTAATGGGCAAACGGATTTGTTCCACACATACATTTACACAAATATACATTTACCTTGTTATGGAACAAATACAATTGAACTTTAATTGAAATGTTATATCATAAACATTTGGAAAAAATAGAATCCAATTTTATTTTTTTTTTAAATCAAAGAGCTGGCTTCTTTCATATTTTCTAGACATTGTTTGATTGTTGATGTTTAAAAATGTGCTAAGAGTGTTTGCCTTTTTTCCCTAGCAAGCTGGGGTCTGTGCTCCAACGTGCCTTCTACGGGTCCAGTGGGAGGGTAAGAGTTTATTTTGATGGCAATAGTTTATAGTTTATGCATGCATAGTGAATGAATAATTTATCAGTAGGGAATTTTCTGTCAGCTGTTTGCTACTCTTTTTATTTCTTCTCATGTGGTTTTAGTGGTGTTTTTAAAACAACATGAAAATTAGCTGGAAAAGTTGCTAGTTTTTAGTTCAGGGTATCTATATTCTCCCAAATACTTTTAATTATTTTATGCTTATTAAATACTTAAATTAATGTACATGTACATGTGTTTTTTTTATAACATTAGTTTGTGTGTTTTCCAGGTGACCCTTTTCGAGCAGAGGAACTTTGCAGGTCGGCGACTGGACCTGACCTCTGACTGTCAGAAATTGAGCGAAAAAAACTTTCCCGACAGATGCAACTCTGTCCAGGTGGAGAGTGGAGCGTGAGTACATGATAGTTTTGTATCACAAGACCTTATTTGAACTTTTATAAACGTAAAATGAATGATTACTCCACGTTTTTATTCAATAAACATTTTTATAGCTACATTAAATCATTTTTGCATTTCCTTTCCATGTACATTTTGCCAGTTTAAGCCCATTCAGATATGTTTTGCATTTTTACTGTGACGTGTTCTTGTGTAGATGGGTGGCATATGAGCATGAGAACTTCTGTGGACGTCAGTACCTGTGGGACATGTTTGACAGGGGGGAGTACAACTGCACTGATAGGTGGTGTGCTCAGGGTGACCACATCTCCTCTGTTCATGCTGTGAAACAAGTGAGACATTCAATAATGATAAAAATATTAAAAACGATACAATTAGTATCAGTCTTTGCAATTTCCACTGGTTCCACTGAAACATGTAATGGTATGATCCAAAATCATAAATGTAAAAATTGTTTGTTTGCCTGTGTTTCGTGGTCTAGGACAACAACCCTCCCCGTGCACAGCTGTTTGAGAGGGCAGGTTTTTCGGGAAAGAAGACAGAGTTCCATGATGACATCCCCAACCTGATGAGCCGTTACAGCCTTAACAGAGTGTCCTCCGTAAGAGTAATGGGCGGAACGTGAGTACAAATTCACTTATGTTAAAATACTGAGCTATGTATTCTGTTCTGTGTATATATTCAGTGTTGTGTGCACATTTCCCATCTCTCTCTCCTGACCACAGCTGGGTGGCGTACCAGGAGCCTAACTACAGGGGAGCACATTACATCCTGGAGAATAAGGACTACAACAACTTCTCTGACTGGGGTGCTCAAAACAGCACCATTGGCTCAATTCGCCGTGTCTGCTTCAGCTAAACAAAACCCCCACATCTGTCAGCTCTTTATACAAACAATATGCCAGCCCCACAGAAGACCTATTTGAGTAATAAACTGATTATAAAGACAAATATTGTTGTTGTGCTTAAGTTCAAACAGGAATTACACAATTCATCAGGTATCATAAAGATGAAAAGTTCTTCAACAGCTTTTCAGATGCAAGAATGAGCGTTGTGTTGCCCTCTGGTGGTAAAACACACTTCTGCAATGTCAGCCTGTCTGCTCCACTGTTACCTGGTATGTCAGAGCAACCACCATCTTAAGATAGTCTTGTAGCACAGCTCCAGGATTGTTCCCAGGATGCTACAGCACTGTTTCGTCCTGCCCTGATGGGATGTGGGATGCTTATAGGAACTGTGAGCTCACGGCTTTGCCCTCTCTTCTATGATCCGAATCCTTTAAAGAGCAGCTGTGGAGCTCATCTGTGTATATTTGAGCATACGTTGAGGAATTCACACGGGCTTTAGCTCTGTGTTGGACTGACAGACACATGCTGTCGTGCTCTCTAAAGGCCGGTGAGGTATTTCTGTGGGTCGTGGGAGTAGCAGTTGCTGTGCCCCTGTCGTGCCGATGACATTGTGCTACATCTCTCTCACGGTCACCACAGCAGCCTGGAGGTACCCACCAGTGTAGACACAGAGGAGGGGCAGAAAGAACGCAAACGGGTTTAGGACAATGTCTCGCAGAGAAGGAAGTACAGGGAATGAGAGAGAGAGCAGAGTGAAATGAGATTTATGTGATTATAAACAAATGTTTGACACAACCATTATGTTAACCACTGGCACTTTATTTATTCTATAAAACTAGTGTTACAGCTAGTATTGTGACCATTAGTGCTGATTTCACTGTTACCACTGCTGTTGCTGCAGTTACTGTTGCTTACATGAAAATGGTTCCCTAGAATTTGGAGTTTAAAAAATTCAATAAATCCAGTTATGTACAGTGAGACAGGAGTCTAGTGAAATTATAATATAATATAATATAATATTGTTACTTTTGTAATATAAATGAATATATAAGTGAACTGCAAAAACAACTTGATATCTCACAGAAATTCTGCTGATTTGATACAGTGCTGAGACATACAAATATGCCCTACCTTTCAAAAGTTTGGT